CTACGTCTATCGCTATCGCTATGTCTATCGCTATCGCTATTGCCTCGCATTGTGTTTAGGCCTTAAATCGAATACGCTATAAGATGTACAGGAGCCCCAAAAGCACCCGTATTCCGTATTGCTCTGTTATTAAGGCCCGTCTACAATGCACGAAGTAAGAAGTAAGAGTAAGAAATTCACCAATCACAGTCGAATGTGAGAAGAATAATCGACTGTGATTGGTCAATTTCTTACTCTTACTTCTTACTCCGTGTATTGTAGACGGGCCTTTAGATCGAGCTGCTACGTCATTACGCATGCGCACAAAGTTTCCTAGAGCAGACGAATTCTTGCCAGCTCCCATCACCCATCACTGATAGGGCCCAGACACACACTTTTGCATAACGCATAACGCATAGTGCATAAGCAAATCAACCAATCAAAATTCTTCTTTTCCATGGAATGAGAGGAAAGGAAAGCTTCTGATTAGTTGATTCGCTTATGCACTATGCGTTATGCGTTATGCAAGAGTGTGTGTCTGGGCGCATATTCCAGAGTTATCTAGGCGTAATTCCTGAACGCACCCTTGTATAGAGTCGAGATGATAGATATTTTAACCTCTAAAGTCTTGAACTTTAACGCTTAATAATTTGATTCACGCGGCCGACTGCCGCGTTTTTCTGCCAGATTCTTTCGTTTTAAGTGAATACGCGTCGAATGAGTACATTTTTATTAAGATTTTAGGGAGAGAAAAGGTATTTTAGATAATTACTAAAAAAAAGTTTTGTATTATTTTAGATATTACCCTTCAAAAACATTATTTTTTACATATAAATTTATTCAGAATATCACTGACAATTATTAATAATTATTTTTTGGTAAATGATTTCAAACTTTTTTTTGACAATCCAACATTATACAGTTTGTTATTGTTACTAATAGTTACAATATATATACATTTTTTTCTTGTACCAAAATTTCAGTTTACAAATTAAAAACACTTTTGCTCATATAATGGCTGGAAATTACAAGAGAGTAGTATTGTGTAAAGGATTATCTGAAAAGAGCAAGCAGGAAACATATAGCAAGACATTGGAATCAGCTGGTTATAATTGCGAATGTTTACAAACTTTAAAATTCGAATTTGTGAATATTTCGGATCTGCGAGCATGTCTGCGAGTAGCTGACAGATATAGTGGTAATACATCTTATTATTTTCAACATAATTATATTACATAATTATTATTATATTATATAGTTATTATAACTAATATTATATCTATCATCTGTTAATTAATTATAGGTTTAATATTAACTAGTCCTCGTACAGTTGAAGCTGTTGTATTGGCAGTAAAAGAAGATACTAGTATCCTGTATCATTGGGAACAGGTGCCAACGTACTGTGTGGGAACTGTGACAGAGTCTCTCGCAAGAAATCAACTTAATTTGCAACATTGTGTAGGCAGTCAGTCTGGTAATTCAAAGCAACTGGCTGCAAAAATTATTCTTGATATAAAAAAAGATTCCAAACCATTATTGTATCCATGTAGTGAAATTGCACGTGAAACTATCTCTTGTACTGTTGGAGATAGTGAAATTTCAATAAAAAAGATCATAGTTTATAGAACATTAGAGAGTGAAACTCTTGAACAAGAATTACCAAAAATGCTCGAGAAATCTCCTAGTATATTTGTTTTTTTCAGTCCATCTACAGTTGAGCATATTACAGCGCAACTTAAGAGAAATTTCTATAATGTCAAAAATATAAAAGCAGTAGCAATAGGACCTGTAACAAAAGATGCATTAATTGATTCTGGTTTCAATGTATATGCCACTGCGAATAAACCTGAACCAGTAGCTTTAATGCAAGCGATTACAGCTGCTGATTCTATAGAAAATTTAAAAAAGAATAATTTATGACATGACGTCTTTTGGGTTGTTTGTCATAAAGATCGATCATGAAAACCGGAAAACCAAATTGGTGCGCAGTTTATAGACAATATAATGTGCATTTGCAAATTTGGGGGTGATCCCGATTGATCACGGCTCGATTGGACACTATCAATTACAGCGACCAGTGCCTAGGAGCTTTGTAGTCTCAAGCGCTGTGAGTGGCTTGTATCCAATTGAGCCGTGTCCAACTTTGGGTGCCACCCCAAATTTGTATATAAGTATTATCAAGCACCAAGATCTGCTTCGACCAAATATGGAATTCTTTCTTTTTGATTTAAATAAGAATGCTAGAGGAAAATATTATGTAATGGTATACATATATATTATATGAAGTTATTAACATTTTTTTAATATTTTGATATTGTAAAACATATATTTTTTTAATATATAAATATTTCTCAAATTATTTCACAATAAGAGGAATCTTTCTTCAGTTCATGTAAGTTTGTTAACAATAATTATAAATAATGTACATACAATATATATTTTAGAGAGCTATAAAAGCAAATGTGTGTACGCGTGCGTGTATGTGTGTTATATATGTAAATATATCTTACAATTGTAATTTTGATTGTTATCTAGTTTTATTATATTACATTGCTTTTCTCAGAAAGAATAATGTATAATTTCGTTGATAAAAACGCTGTTTGTAAATTTGTGCATACACATGTTATATTGTTAATAATTTTATTGTAGTATATATTTATAAAAATAAAACATAATATTCGAAACGAAACAATATATTTAATATATTTAATATAGTTTATAAATATTTTATTTGCAATATTTATGAATTATACGTAATATATAATCTCTTTTGCATATTAAAATTTTTATATCACAAATATTTCAATAAAACTTTATCAGATATCTTATTAAATTTAATACCTATTGCGGTTTACACCGAGCAGGCACGAAATATCTGAACCAACTATTGCTGACTGATTCGCATAATAAGGCTGAGAAGCGTTTCCACTATTATATTTCATTTGGACTGCCGTTTCATAATCAGGCGCCGGTCTATATGATGGTAATAACGCGCGCAAACTATTTATATCGGTTGACGAAATAGATACAACAGGACACGGTGACGGTATTGAAAGATCGTTGTAACTTGTCCACCGTGTATGTGTGTCCGAGGTTCTGTTATCCGAATTCACGGATACTGCTTGCTCACTAGAATCGTTTGTATCATTATCCTGTAACAATATATTAATGCCTACAATTACATAAAATTCTATATGATGTTTAAATAATTAAACAAATGTTAATTTACGCACACAGCAGCCACTAGATCTTTCTGGTGGACGGCGTTCTTGATACTGTATATAGAATAAATGTTGGGCTATACATAATCTCCATATGTATTTTGCATCGCGCGACTCGGTAAATACAAATTGCTTTGCTTCTTCACATTTGCACTCTATTCTAAACGTCTTCTTTTGATTTATGACATTACTGATGTCTTTCCATCTGCAAATCGTAAATTATTTATTTAATATGCTGTAATAATTTAGTGCATATAAAAAGTCCTTTTAAGCTGAATTTTTTGCACTATTTATCTCCTCTTTTTTTTCCAATGTGGAAAGAAAAAAAGAAAAGAAGACATGCGAGAAATTCAGCTGAAAAGAACAGACCTAAAGTCACATATATAAAATAAAAAGTAAATTAACCTATAAAATTGCGTTGTTTGAGTATTAGGATAGGCCACCATAATTCCATTGATGGAAATTCCAAGTATAACTTTGTTGTTACTATTATCCTGAAATATTCCATAATTGCAGCATTTGAAAAAAGCAACAAAAATTAATTAAACAATATCTTTATTTTTAGACCATATATGTGAGAAACACAATCAATACTAGAAATTTAAAATGCCTATTACGGTCGAAGCTGGATCTTCGTTGTTTTTTTTAAATAATTTAATCTTGAATTACTAATATACACTATATATGTACTTGCATATATACTATATTGTAGTCTTTCAAACTGCGCGCCGAATTAGCCTCGGTGGTCTAATGGCTTGGGACGCTCGTACGATTTACAAGAGATCCGGGTTCAAGTCTCGGCCGAGGTAATTTTTTTCGCAATAAATTTATTAACAGTTTTAATATATTAACATCTTTGTAATATATGATGCTTGATGGTAGCATCAAAAATTATTAAATTGCTTGTCAATTTAATTCGCGATTACTAGAGTAGTTTTAATTGCGTTTATTTAGTCCGGAAAAATAATTCGGCGCGCAGTTTGAAAAAGATTACATACGATATATATGCAAGTACATATATAGTGTATATTAGTAATTCAAGATTGAATTATTTAAAAAAGTAACGAAGATCCAGCTTCGACCGTAATAGGCATTTTTAAAATTAATTAATTTATCGCGCTATTTATACCTTGGCAGGAAAAGTTTCAGTGCCATATCCCTCCAGTTGCGTGGCAATTGAAATATATAATTCTTCTGCAGTAGCTTGTGTCATATTGGCAAAACCTTTATATTGACATATTGCTGTGTATAAAAGAGATTCTTGTCCATTTGGATCTGTTTTGTTTACGTCCTAAAGAGAAATTTAAATAAAACCCGAATTTAGATTTATATGACATTTGCAATTAGAATAATTTAGTTATAAAAATTGGTGTTACGTTTGGGAAGAAAGTGCATTGTTGGAGATATTCGATTGTGTGTCTCTCTGGACTATAATTTCCAAACTCAGCTTGCATAGAATAGCTTGCCAACACACAAGCCTGTCTGTAATTACAATGTACTTTGTTTTCTAGCACATCATTCTTCAGTTGAAGATAATAATGATATCTGTGGAAGGAAAAAGAGAAGAAACACATAAAATTATATTTTTTAAGAAACTTATAGGTCTGTTATTTTTAATATCATTTAATGTCAGACTCATATTTCCTCATTTCTTCTCTAATTTGAAGAGGAAACAAGTAAAGATAAACTGTGCAAGTTGAGCTAAAAAGAACAGACCTTACATCACTTAAGCGAATTAAGTTAACCTTGTCATCTCATCTTGAATGAGTTGTACATCCACTATATAGTACATAACTCTTAAGTAAAGCGTAAAGCTTTTAGCATCTTTTTCAAGTTGCCTCTTTAAAGGTTTGTCCATATCTATCCATCGAAGTGATGACGTACTGCGGCAAATATAGCGTAGGCTAAAAAACTCTGGTTGCCCTAATCCCAAACGTTGCATCACGTTGTCCAGACACTCCTGGCCAACACTGTCGATGCTGAGAGTGCATTCTATTGAAGTGGCATCTAACAATTCGACACAAATTACATACTGATTCTTGGACACGACATTATACTGTCTGCTCTTTTTCAAGTGGAACTTGAACGGCATTTTGGCAGCCGCAAAGTAACTAAAAAAAATACGTAAATATGTAACGCATTGATTACAAATCTAAGGGAAATCCAAAGTGTCACAAAAGTCTATTTTTTATAACTTTTTTTGTAACGGTTTTGTATAACTGAATTAGTATACACTTTTGGAATTTAAAATGGAATAGATACATATTTGATATTTTTTAGCAAAAGAGAGAAAGAAAATCCAGAAAGTATAGTTTAATGCAGGAATAAAGAAATAGACCCAATGTATCCTAATAAATACGAACTAACACGTACATCAATATTATAATTTTCGATTTAACAATATAAATGTAATGTAATATATTGTAATAACAGTTACCCAGATAGCAAAGCGTGTAACAGCAAAATCGTACAAATCTGTGATTGCTTATGATGCTGGCAACTTGCCATAGATTTACCTTTGATTTCTCCAACGTGGAGAGAAAAGGAAGAAAGATGAACCGTGCAAGAACTTTAATTAAAAAGAACAGATCTTATGTGTATATGTATTGCCAGTATTTTACAGCAAAATAGCTGCGTCAATGTTATCTTGCGTTATCGGCAATATGACAGCATTGTATGATGCTATATATTATGATAACATAATGGCAACAGTATGAATTTTGATAAGGATGATTTTAAAGTTGTTGGTAAATTGCTGGTAAGTTGCTACTCAATATTGTCATATCATGAAGGCATCAAGTGAACAAATGAAGACTCAGTTGTTGCAATTCTGGTAGCAACACATACTTAGCAATGCATACTTAACAAGCAACTTGCCAGTAACAGGATAGATATGTTGTTATTTGGGTACATTGATGATTAGGAAATTATAACATTAATGTTAAATACTGTTAGTTTGTGTTCAACAGGATGCAGAATAACGATAGATTATAGATTAAGAAATTCCACTTACAATTATATCAAATATCATTCGCGTTATAAAGTGACATTACGATCTCTATTTACGAGAAACGTCGCAGTACAAATTGGCGATATAACAAGTTAAGAGATATATTGATATATATTTTAAGCGGTGCGCGCGCACACACACACACACGCGAATTCCTTTAATGCTTAAAATATCACACTCATCAGTCACTTTCTTGTGTAAACACTGTAAATAGTGTACACATTATTCGCTCAGCGGGCACATTATCCATCCGAGATAGATGTATATTTTGGCAATTCCAGACTCCGTTATCAGTAGCCATATCAATCGGCTGATATCAAACAGCAAACATTGAATTCCTTTTAAAGTATCACTCGGCATCGCGATCTATTTTCCAAGTTTTCGCAGTTTCTGCCCTTTCGGAGTAATCCGACCCATCAACGAGATAAACTATACATTACTGATAGTTACTGACAATACTTTGCTGTTGCTTACTGTCGGTATAGGTGCATTCGGGGAGACGCTAGTGACGCTACTAGTGCTATTGTCTCATTCTATCCTCATTATTCATTTTAGACATAAAACAAGGATAGAAAATCTCTCGGCACGAGAGCATGCGAGAGTATCGATACTTCGTCCGGTTGCGACGAATATCGATGTTGATATATCGAGAGGGCAAAAGAAGGAGATAAAGGCTGTGTTCCAAAATTGACTGCGGCCAGTACTGGAAATCTATAGTGTACGTAACGTAAACTGTAGCATTTTCATTGCTAGCAGTAAATTTGGAACACAGCCAAAGTTATTAGATTAACAAAGTACCGCAAACTGCCGCCATTTTGGCTCCATTACGCTGGTTATTCAAAACGGGTG